TAGGATATTGCCTTCTTTATTGATATTGTAGTGATACTGATTGAGACATTATGTGTATAACCAATGTTATGTCTATGGCTGATGGAGAGATTAGACAATTGAGACAGAATTAGTTATCAATTAAAAAGTAGCCACTTGATGATAAAAATTAGCCATTGATAACCAGATATGTGAAAGAGAAGGGCAAATACAATCTGACTGTGTAAAAAGGCCCCATCTAGACTACATGAACAGATGACCCTAGCGATAAGTCTCTGGAAGTAGTATAAATATTGACCCTGAATTTAAAGCCAATTTGAGATACTTATGGCTCCACACCAGTAGTTCTGGAAGCAGTTCCAGTTTGGGTGAGGAAGGCTGGGGACTTTCACTCTGAGAAATGTGGTCTTCCTTCCCTACAGACAGACAGCTGCCAGGTACTCTAGAAGTTTGCAACTGTCTCCCTTTTACTTTCAATTGACCTGTAAGCATATTTATTTATTTATTTATTTATTTATTTATTTGTGGGGACCTTCGCCTGTGGCCAGGGAACAAACCGGCACTGCAGAGGCTGCCTGCAGCCTCCCAGCCCAGCGCTCATCTGCTGCGCCACCAGGGGAGGCCCCCTGTAAGCATATATTATACTGTGTATTCCCTTTTAAATTCTTATCATTACTATATTAATTTGATTTGAGTCATAGTGAAGCCTTCCTGCTGTGTAGAACGGGGTTTATAGCAACTCAAAAAATAGTTGGGTAAACTTAAACAAGTCACTAGCTTTTTGATATCTCAATGAGGGGGCATTAGACATTTCTGTTTATAAGCAAATCCATAAAGTTAAATATATAAAGATTAGTTAATATGTAAGCTTCAACTTTTCTATTGTGATAAAGCATATTTTATTGAAATGATTCCACCAATTTGGAAAAAATAATAAAGTTAAGAAAAATAAATCAATTCAGTGGCACATATATTAACTTAATATTTCTCTATTTTCTGTCTTTTCAACATTGAGTTAGTGTGAAAAAAATATGCCAATGACATAAATCCTAAATAATGTTAAGCATTATTATTCAACACTTTTGTGGATCCACTCACTGCTCCATGGATATCCCTGACATTACTGAACTAAATATTTGGTGAGAGAAGCTAAATATTTTTGATAATCTGTTGAATCCAATTTTTATGGAAACTTTATATTGTTATTTGTAATTCCTGTAAAGTATGATGCACCAGTATAAATACATTTAAATTATATGAAATAATTATTTTTTATCTATCTTAACATATGCTTCTCAATAGGTAGTATTACATTTAGAGGATTACATTTTAAAAATTATGAGTACAAAAATTAATTTAAATTCCCACTGATACAATGATTGAGGGTCCTTTGTATTAGAAATTTCTTAACAAGTATATTTCCAGGTATTGCGTTTACATTATCCAACATTCTGCTTTTCTGGAATATGTTATTAAAGAAAAGAGAATTAACTAAAGTCACTCCACTTAAGTGTGTGTTTGTATTTTTTAATATGTATCTATTTGGGTGAATTTTTTGAGTTTTTTCTTCTAATTTGACATTTTGTTGTTTCAATGTGTAAATCATAGAGTTCATTCTCTCTTACATGTTTTATTTTGTGACTATAAATTATTTCCAAAAAGGATGACCACTTTTATTTTTCCATATATACCTGAAACTATTATATTTCCCTTGCTTTGATTTCTTTATCTTTAAAAAAATATATGTATCCTTTAATTTATAGTCATCTCCCAAATGTGTATTATAAATACTTGATGGTATAGTCTTTCAAATTAATTTGTTTTGGAAATATGGCTCTGACTTTTTATTTGACTATCATAGGCTTCTTTATTTTTTTAAATATTTTCAAATGCAAATCTTTTTGTGTAAGTTTTTAAAAATCCATCAAAATATCTTTATTCTTCCCTTTCTCTAACATTTATAAGTCTGGAACACAACAGATCCAGTCTCCGACAGCAGCTCAGTTAGTCCCTAGAAACCAAATTATTTCTTCCTCCCTGAATTTCTAAAGTCAAATGATCAGTCCTGCAACATTTTTAAGGCTCCATTTAACGAGTGCAGAAGACCTTTGATTTTAAGCAATGAGTCATGCTGCAGTCTCCAGTTCTATGCTGATAACTTTTATTTCCCTTTCCCCAAACATTTAAACTTCCTTTCACAACCTCTGATGTAAATCATGCAAGCCCAGGCTTCAGGCCATGTTCTGTGTTTCTCAGGTATGGTTGGTGCCTATTCCACTGTGTATTTATCCCTTGTATTGTCATGTTTGGATTTGAAGAACAGAAACTTTCCAATGCTATCATACCTGTATCCCAGAGTTCTACAAGAGGTCATTTGATTACTAAAAATATCTACAAATAATTACTCTTCCTTCTACTCTGATTAGCTGTGTCTTGTTGCTTTCCATCTACCTCACAGTTCAATCATTCACACTTTTGTTTGAATGTCTTTGTCTCTGCCTTCCTCCATGTTAAAGTGCCCCATTTCGGACTATAGACATATTATCTTTTTTTAAAAAATAAAAATGCTACTCATTCCCTTGTGATTTTTGTCTAGTAACATGGCTATCATTTCCATAAATATCTCTTATATTTTATCTATAGCTTAAATACTTCCTCTGAATTCTAGATTTGAAAACCTCACTGGGACTCAACATCCCTATAGAATATCTAAAAGATATCTCAAACTTAACACACATAAAAACAAGCTTCTGAACATCTGAAAAACATATTCATCAGTATCTTTATAAAGCCTTAAAATGTTTCCTCGCATGAGCATTTTCTCGAGAAGTTCATGCAGTGTTACTTTATGAAAAGAAAATACACCAAGACAAAGAAGATAAGGATTTCATGACAAATAGAATACTACACAAGAGAATGTAAAAAGAAACCTCTCTGAATTTCCTGAATGATGGTTAATTATGTAGCACACCCAGAGAAAGACTAATAAAGGTAAAAACAGGAAGTTTAAAATTCAATACCACCACCAAAAAAATTAAAAATAAAATATTACCAAAAGAATGGGATGTGTTGAAAGGAGATTTAGATGATTTAGAATAGTTTAATACCATGAAAAAAATAAAGATAAAAATTAAAAAAAAGGCAATTAGGATTGCTAAACAAAAAGTAATTGAATGAGAAAGAAATGCAGCAATAGTTGTCTCACAAATGAACAGTTTTTACATGATCAAAATAATAAGAGTATCAGTCTAACCAAAATTAAACTAAATTTTAAGGAAAATAGATAAGCAGTCTATATGTTCATAGGACTAGTAGAAGAAAAACACAAGTGTTAAATTGTAATCCCCCAAATAGCAAGGATAGAAAGCACCTGGAATAGAAATATGGCGGGAAATGGCCCAAGAAACAGTTAAACCAGTTATTTTAAAAGAATAATTAAAAATAAAAAAAAATTAAATTATCAGGAGTTGCCTTTCTGGTGCTATGTTAATTCAGAACTTAATTCATGCCTCAAAAGCAAAACAGATGATACATTACATACTTTTATGCGAGTACATTATCATACAAAATCAGATGCACAATTAAGTTATACCGTTTCTTTACCACTGTGTCTTTGAGCACAACAAACAAAAACAACGCCATGGATAAACAGTAAGTTTATGCAATAAACCTTTACTAGTCACAGTGGTGCAGGATTTGAATTGCTAAACCCGTGTGTGTGTGTGTGTGTGTGTGTGTGTGTGTGTGTGTGTGAGTATTTAAACTAAACATTATTACAATGGAAGTAGGAGCAATAAGTCTTGGGTATTAAATACACTTTTTTCTCCTCCTCTAAGGTAACTATTTTGAGGGAAAAGTTAAAAACATGAAACTGTTCCTACTGTCATCAGAATCTTTTTTCAGTAAACAATGTGGCATCATTGCTAAGATTTTTTGTACCTCTCTTTTTCTTTCTATTATCAGATTCCACCTACGTTTTTATCACCTGCCCAGGTTCTACAATTCTTTTTTAAAATAAGATTTAATTAATGAATTAATCTATTTATTTATGCATACATGAACTGGGGTGTGGTCGAGAGGTGCAGGGGGGTGAGACAATTCACCAGAGACAGAGTGGGGAGCATAACAGGCAAACAGACCAAAGACACTGCTGAGGGGAGCAGCAGGCGAGTCAGGAGAGGTCTGCTATGCCATGTGGGTCCGCTCCCTGGCCGGATATTGAACTCTAGTATTTATTCAATAAAACAGCCAAACAGTTGTGTTGTTGAGGTTGTCACCTGATGGCAGTGAATAAATTCTGTGACTATAATTTTATACTTGAAAAAATGTAAATGATGGAAGAGATAGCACCTTGATGCCAATGATCACCAAAAGTATATACACTTTAGGGCCTTCCTGGTGGCCTAGGGGTTAAGTCTCAGTGTTATCACCAGTATTACATGAGTTCGATCCCAGGCCAGGTGTGCTCATAGAGCAGAGATGACCCACTGCCATGGACTACTTACTCCCAGAGTGTTATTGTGAGAGAGATGTAGTTTATAGATCCTCCATATTTGTGGTAACAGTAGTTTGGTGTTTTACTAAACTAAAGCATTCAGATAAGGATATACAAATGAACAGTGGTAAGGAAGTAATATAGGTTAGTGAGGTGTAAGCATAAACTACCTAACCAAAAGTAGTGTGACTCTATTCACTATAATATTTTCTTGCAAAATAAACATTATAGAGAGAAGTACACTGCTTTAAAAATTAGAAAATATTTCAGTTAATTCTTACAATAGACACTTAAAAATGTCTCCTTGAATTTATAATTCATATGCAGGCAATAGAGCTGACTAGTTTCATGAAAGATACCCATTTTGCCTAACAAATATTCATCTGAAGTGCTATATGACCACTCATAAATCTTCTAAATTTAATATTCAGAGAACTTTGTATGTGCAACCTTAACATAGCGGGTCTTAAGATAAATAATCAACACCTTTTTATTTATTCAAAGATAACATCTGACTCACCTGATATGTAATCCATGTTATTATTGTCAAAGTTGTTCCATTAAATGCTCTCATACTGTGGGGATGAGATATCTAGAAAAGAGACATTAATACTTTTCTAATTTTTAAGAACAATATAACAGCAGAATATCTTATATCAGTGAGATTCTGTGTCCTGAATACAATGCAAAAACATGAATACTGACTATTGTAGCATCCTGTGTCTACTCGATCATTCAAGCTATAGCATTTTATTTAATGATGGCATGAATTATAATCCCATCTATATATTTGCCAGGTTTTGTTATCATTTTTGTCATTGTCCCATCTGTCATACAATTTCATCATCAGTGAGAGTGTGTCAGTAATGATGAAGGGAAGGACACACAAACGTACAACTCTATCAGCATTGCCCTTTTTCTAAGAAGTTGAAACAAGAGAAGTTGGACACTAAAATTGAGGTAGAAATTAAATTTACACATTAAATATTTAAAATAGCACATTTCATAAATCAGTGCAACTCATTGGAGAATTCGACAATTTTCAATCTATATTAAGACTATTCTTTATTTTTCAAATTTAAAAATAACATCATAGCCAATGTCCTGATCAAAATACCCTGTTAAATAAAGTCTTTTCAAAGTAGTTTTATATCACTTAAGAGTCTTTAGATGTAGCCTAGCAAATTGAACTCTAGATAACATAAGGTTAACACAAATAAAATTAAAGGTGCTTGAGATCAGATGATGGTTAAATAGGAGACCCAGTAAATTTTGCTTAAATATAAGAGGAAATTTTTCTTTGGATGTGTGGGTGCCCCTAATCTGAAAAATAGATACTGAAAAATAGTCTGTCTTAGTGTTTTTTAAACTTTAAATTACATATACACATATATTTAAAATAATCAACTTAAAGCAGTATTTTGCTATCATTTCTGTTATCATTTTTTTTCTCCACAGATTCACAGAAAGAGAAAAATTTGAAAATTCCACCCTACAACCAATGATTGACCACTAATCTTTTGTCTTTCTAAAATATCATCATACCCAAGGTAATCTAAGAGTTTTATGGTTTTGCATTTTACATGTCAATCTATGATCCATTGGAACTAATTTTCCAAAGGGATGAAGATGCTCATATGAAATCTTATTTTTTTTGGTATGTGGCTACCAGTACCATTTGTTGAAGGGGCAATCTGTGATCCATTGTATTGCCTTTGCTTCCTTATCAAAGATAGTTGACTATATTTATATATGCATATACCATTGGGCGCTCTATTCTTTTCACTGATATGTCTATTTTTTCACCAACTCCACACAGTGTAGCTTTATGTAGGTCTTAAAATTGGGTAATGTCAGAATTCTGACTTTGTTCTCCTTTCGAATTAACTTATTTTGGTTTGCATGTGAACATCACCATGGTTTTTTGATATCTTCAAAATAGATTTGGAATGGGAGGGCATAGAATCTAGAGGTTAAGTTGCAAAGTCTCTGCATTTTTGTTTTTAAAAGGTTTATTTATTTATGCATACTAGAAATGGGGTACAGGCCAGAGGTATGGGGATGAGAGGATTCACCAGAGAGAGTGGGGAACAGAACAGGCAGACTGATGAAACATACTGCTGAGGGGAGCGACAGGTGAGTCAGGAGAGGTCTGCTGTGCCAGTACCTGCATCTTGATAGTTTTTTTCTACAAGCATGAAACAGCTCTATGTTTATACATTGTTCAATTTTTTTCCTATTTCTTTTTGGGAATCACAAGTGTAAGTGACATAATTTTTCCATCAAATTCCACTTATTCATTGCACATTAATTTTATATCCAGCAACAATGTGAGAATTGCTTTTCAGTTCCAGCAAATATTTGGTAAATTCTTCTGGATTTTCTCCATCTACAATTATATCATCTGTGAACAGTTTTATTTCTTTCTTTCTAATTTGTTTATCTTTTATTCTTTTCTTATTACATTAGCTAAGATTTCAGAATGATGCTGAGAAGAAGTGATGGGTGGGGATATCATTGCCTTATTATTGATATTTGCAGGAAATCTTCCAGTTTCTCCCCATTAAGTATGATGTTAGCTCAAATTTTATTTTATATATAAAATCAAATAGGGACTGTTCTTTGCATTTTGTTTACTGATTTTTTTTTTTTTTACCTAGAATAACTATTGTGTTTTGTCAAATACTTTTTCATGTGAGGTTATTTTTATTTTGCTTATTGATGTGATGGATTTTTTTAATTGGCTGTCAAGTATTGAACCCACTTTACATACTAGGATAAATCATTCTTACTCATGGCATAAAATGATTTACACATTTCTAGAGTTTGATTTGTGTTGTTTTTTGTTATTGCTGCTGCTGTTGAGGACTTTTGCATCTACACTCATGTTAGATTCTGGTTTGTAGTTTTCTTTCCTTTTGTTTTGGTGGGGACTTTGTTTTAAGGTTAGGCTGGCCTCATAAGATGAGTTATGTAGTATACTCTCTGCTTCTATTTCTGCAAGAGATTATGCAGAATTTCTTTAACTATATGGCAGAATTAAATAGTGAGCACATCTGGGATGGGACTCCTTTTTCACAAATGTATTCTCAGTCCATGATAATTTTTATAAATACTCTAGGAATAAACCGTTAGACCATAACACCAAACCAGTGCCTATCAGAAAGCAAGGAGGAAGAGGGGAGTGTGACTCTGGTAAAAGGGGTTAATTGTATGGTAAAGGACTAGAGTTTAACTTTTAGTGGTAAACTAATGTAGTCTATATACATGTTTTTTTTAAGACTTTTTTTAAAGATTTATTTATTTATTTATACATGCACTGGGTACAGTCAGAAGCGCAGGAGGGTGAGAGATTTCACCAGAGCCACAGCAAGGAACAGAACAGGCAGACTGATGAAGTACACTGCTGAGGGGAGCAGAGGGCACAGCAGGAGAGGTCTGCACACCATGTGGGACCCTCATCCGTTGGCCACGGATCAAACCAGCGCTGCGGAGACTGCAGGCAGCTTCGCAACCCAGCGCTCAACAGCTGCGCCACCAGGGAGGCCTCATACATTTTAATTTTAATGATGCACACCTGGAACTTATATAATGTTACAGCGCAATGCTATTTTAATTTGAAAAATTATTTTAAAAAGTCTGGTAATGCATGGAATGGAATACTGGTCAAAGTAAAAAAAAAATGCAGCTACATGATTTATTATGCTGACTGAAAGAAGTCAGAATCAAAAGGGTATGTATGTGTGTATATATATCCCAATTCTGTCTATCCATCCATCTAGCCATTCATCCATCATGATTTCATATATCTGAATTACTAGATAGGCAAAAGTGTGAAACTATTAGTAGTTGCTATGGGTTAAGACTGAAGGCATGGGACCTCCCTGGTCTTGCAGGCGGTTGAGCACAGTGCTGTGAAGCTGTACGCAGCCTCTGCAGTACAGGTTCCATCCTGGCCAGCCAGAGAGATACCCACATGGCGCAGCAGACCTCTCCTGTCTTGCCTGCTGCTCCCCTCAGCAGTGTATTTCAGTCAGTCTGCGTGTTCTGTTCCCTGCTCTGGCTCTGGTGAATTCTCTCACGCCCCCACACATCTGGCATATACCCTGATTCTTGTATGCATGAAAAAATAATCTTACCAAAAAAGACTGAAGGCATGGACTGGATATAAAGAGGAATCACAAGGGTTTTTTTGTAGTGTTCCTGAACTGTATCTTCAATATGGTCATGGTTACATGGCTGTAGTTGTCAAACTCAATGAAGTATATAGCAAAATAAGTGACACTTATAACATGTAGAATGAAAACAGTATTTTTTAAAAAATGCCTTGTAAAAGTGTTCAATAAAAATTAGCTCTATTATTATTCCCATGTAAATTTACCCTCATCTAAAATTATATTCTCTCTCTTGACTATACTTCCAAAATCCATTCTGACATACATTTGTCTACATTTTGCTTTTGGAATAAAAGACTTGAAATACTTTTTTGCGGCAAACTCTATTTTGGTCTTGACTTTATCATTTGCCCAACAAAGAATCAAGGTCCTGACTCAAGCAATGAGCATATTGGAAGGGGAAGCCAGAAAACATTGGTTTTCCCTAGATTATTGCAAATACTTGAATGACTGCAAGAAATAATTCCTGAATAATACAGGAACCAGCTGTTCAGGTGGCACTCCCCTTTAGACACTGGAAGCTGACTTACCAGGAGTTCTCATTCCGATTCTTAGTATGCCCTTCTATCTTATTAAATATCCTCAAATTTATTTTTAAAATGTGAAACTGTAAATTCTATTAATATGACAAATTGGCAACAAACCAATTCAGAATTTATATATGGATTCTGGCTACCTTCCCCCTACGATTTAAGAGATACTTGGATCAGAGTTATAGGAAATCCCTGGAATTCAAGCTGTGAATGAGATGGGTGTTTATGGTTGTCTTTCTCTTATTTCCAGTTAGCTGTAATTATTATAAACATCCAATCTTCTCCCAATATTTATATTCTATCTCCTACAAAAAGTTTTGTTGTTGCTATCTTATTGTTTATTATTTTTAATCACTAGCCACTTGATTTGTCAGTCTTTCCTTAACTGTGCCCTTCAATTCCAGCTGACCATACATTATTGTTTAATTAGTTGTTTTCAACAGCAAACCATATGTTGCCAAATTCTAATTATATAATACTTGCTGGACTTTTAATTGCTCTGAGAAGCAACTGAGGCCAGAAAATCAGCATCACATTTCCACAGAATTTGGGGAACTTTTCTGTCTGCAACAAGCAACCATTTCTTGCACGTAAATTTCTGTATCAGTTCTGTTATTTCAAGAACTTCAAGCTGATTCTGATTTGAGGCAGAAAAAAAAATTCAATGAGTCTCTGGGAAATCTGTATTATGCCCTATTTCTGAGAGTTCAAAAATAAATTTGGAAAATATGTCCTAAATCCCTAAGATGTAAAATAAAGACAGAGGTACTAGAGAAATGAACAGATATAAAGAAGATATTTACACATGAATTTCATTAAAATGCAATTTGATCAAAGTCTAAGAAAAATGTTTCAATACTGACTTGATGATTTTCCATTACTTT